CCGCCACCGCAGTTTGTCATCATGAGCCTTCGTAGACAAGATGGCGGTGCAAGATGGCGGCTGCCTGTAGTGGCGACCCGCGACCATGGAGATATAAACAGCTTTTTTTAAGGTAAAAATAATAAAACAAGGTCTTTGTCTGCAATGATTAGACATGTTTTTTAATTATTGTCATTAGTGATTATCTCAATTTCGGCTAAAAGAACTGACAAAATCCTACACACTGTGCCTTTAAAGAGCCAAGAAAGTAAGAAGTAAAAAATAAAGACTAATTATTGACAGCTGAGTGAACTTTATGTTTCAAGTCAAGTGAAGCTAGTTAACACCAGTACCACTGTGACTACTGGGGGTTTATTCACACCTGGTTGGTCGTGTACAACAAGTTATACATGAATAACCAGACTCGGACTTAAAACGTAACGCACAAAAATGTTCCTACAAAGGCTCCTGCATGCATTTCTGTCGACAGGTGCCGGTGGATAAAGAGCCTAAGGACCACTCACCCCTCGTCCCTCCAGCTCCAGCTTAGTGATGGGCCACGTTTCTTCTCTCTGAGTGTACAGCAGCATGTCTTCATAGCTCTCTAAGAAGGCTTTGGTGCTCTAAAAGACAAACAACAAAAATTTCTTTGAATCTGAAAATGTGTCAGTAGAAGCAGAGGTGTTTCCAGGATGGGTTTAGTCAAGTTTTTTTTTTTTTTACCTTGTTGGCCTTTACCATCAGCCCTGTTATCATCTGTTTCCCAGTCTCCATAAAAAAGGTGCGATGAGTTTCATCTAACAACAGAACCTGGAAATAGCAATTTATTATTTGATCTCTTTATTTTTTCCACAAATACTTGGCCAGTTTTTACTATGCGACCAGAGTTGTAATGTAAATAAGTACAAATACTTTGTTATTGTACTTAAGTAGAAATTTTAGTTATTTGTACTTTACTTGAGTAATTATTTTTCAGCATACGTTTTACTTTTACTCATTACATTTTTACACAATTATCTGTACTTTTTACTCCTTACATTGTTTAAAAAAGCTAAGAAGTAGAAAGTTGTTGCTATTTCATTTCGGTTTGTTATCGTTTAAAAATATTATCCTGATAAACTGTGGCTCCTGGATCGAGTGAATTTAATTGTGGTTGGATGAGAAGTATAAATACTGTATATATCATTCTGATACTGTATGTAGTTTGGATACAACTAATCAAAGCTGCACGTCTTTAGAAAAAATATATTTTGAATAAGTCACCTCTCAATAAATATATTTTGGAAAAATCTAGCCACTTATTGTTACTCAATACTTTTACTTTTATTACTTAAGTACATTTTATGTCAGAAATTTACTTTTGATACTTAGGTACAAAAAAAAAGCAGATACTTTAAGGCTTTTACTCAAGTAATATTCTTAGAGGAGACTTTAACATTTACCAATGTCATTTTGTACTTTTACTCAAGTATCACTTTCAGGTACGTTATACAAGACTGTATACGACTAATATATTGACTATTTTAGATATGCTTCTTATGTGTTCTTTGATCTTACAACAGAATGACAAAGAATGCAAAAATTCACAAAAGTCATCATTTCCATTCGTCTGCCATAAGCTGCTATGTGGAGCATTTGATCTCCTGCACTGCTGTAAACAAGAGCCTTAGGATTTACAAAAATAACTTATTGATTCCGTCTGTTTGCATTTGTCCAAAAAAGAAGTGATCAATGCTTTAGTGTTGGGAGCAGAAACATACCTGGAACGCTTGTCTCACACAGTGGAGCTTGGCAAGGAAATCTTGGTCATTATAGCATTCAAGTAAATCAGTCCTAATAAAAAAATAAATAAAAAAAAACAGATTGAACCTGTTCTCCTCTGTACATTTGAAGTAGCAAAAATCTATTTATTTCCCATAACAATGAGCCTCATGCAAGAACATGTTCGTATTCTTATCCTAAATTTCTCTTACTTTTGTTCGTACAAAGGGTTCGTACGAACATGTCACGTC